AACTGCTACTCTGACACATTAGTTGGATGGCTAGAAGACTTTCCACATTTAAAACCCAACTGCCTTCTCTCCCCACCTGCTCCCAGTGCAGATTTCCCCTTCTCAGTAAAAGGCAACTCTATCCTTCTCCGTGCTCAGGCCCGAAAACGTGGGGCCATCACAGGCCCGAAAACGTGGGGCCATCAATCTGTCAGCAAATCCTATGGTTTCTATCTTCAAAATGTATGTAGAAAACACCCACTTCTGTCCACCTTCCACCACTCCACTCTGGCCCTGGCCACCGCCGTCACCTCTGTCTGGATTACTGTAGAAACCAGCTAACTGGCCCCCCACTTCTCTCTTTCCGTGAACACAGCAGTCACACAGCACGGTCAGACCGTGGCATTCCTCTGTTCAGTGGCCTGCAGGGTCTGCACGGTCTGGCCTCCCTCCCTGCCCTCTTTGAGCTCTCTCTCCTGCTTCTCGGCCCTCTCTAGGCTCCAGCCACCCATTCTCCTGCCTCAGGGCCTTTGTTCCTGCTGTTTTCTCTGCCTGACCTACTTCTCCCCGCAGATGGCCACGTGGCTCACCCCCTCGCGACCTTCAATTCTTTACGGAAATGTCACCTTCTTGGAGAGGCTTTCTCGGCCGACTCCATAAAATCGTAAAGCTCTCAGCCCCATGCCATCCCTTGCTTTATTTCTCTCCATGGTACATAGCATTTCGAGTAGACTGTGTGTGATAAGGGTGTTTGTTTTGTTTACTGTCAGCCCTCCCCTCAAGAATGGGAGTGCTGCCCTGGCCGGTTTGGCTCAGCGGTTAGAGCGCTGACCCGCGGGCCAGAGAGTCCTGGGTTCGGTTCCTGCTAAGGGCACATAACCTCGGTTGGTTTGTCCCCGGCTCTGGTTGGGGTCCTGTGGGTGGCAACCAGTCGATGTGAGAACATCGATGTTTCTCTCCCTCTCTCCCTCCGCTCTATCTAAAGATAAATGCAAAAATGTCCTCGGGTGAGGATGAAAAAAAAAGAATGTTGAGTGCCAGTGAGGACAGAGGGTTTGTGTTTGTTCACTGTGCGTCTCCAGTATCCCAAACAGGGCCTGGCACACAGGGGGTGCACTATAAATATCTGCTGAACGGACAAATAAATCCCATTGGCACAAGACCACTGTCATCTGTGTCTGAGCTCTCTGCATGTGAATGATAGCACAAAGCAACAACTCTCTAATGGTGACTTCAAGCGCTGTGACAAGCACACATTAGCAGCAGCTGGCTACTTAAAACAAGACCATCAATAATAAGAGGCATCTTTATAGAGTCTTGAATCATAATGTCAAATGCCAGGCTAAGAGCTCAACATGCATCATGCCACAACCTATGAGGTTGGCACTGTACTGTCCCTCTTCTCAAAATGAGGGAGAAGAAACTAGATGAGATAACTTACTGAAGGTCAGGCAGCTTGGAGGTGACAGGATCTGAATCCAGGCAGACAGGCTCCAGGGTCTCCCTTCCTCCTACCTGTAAAAAGGCGTGACTACAACCCCAAATGGCAACACGTATAACACCGGATTAGGGTGGACACGGACCCTGCTGCTCTAACAGATGGAACATCAGTGGTTTAACCCGAGAGGCGATTTCTCTGACAGAGGCTATCCCTGCACTAACTGCTGGAAAGACCTCGGTCCACTCTGCCTAACAGTGACTCATTCTTCTTTCTGTTGACATCATGAGAACACTGTGCTGAAGCCCGAGCTGCTCTGTTTAAACCTAGAAGGTCCTTCCAGTTTCTGGAGAAACTGTTAAGTGTGAGAACTCTGGGTTGAAATCCTTGCCCAGCCACACAGTAGCTGTGTGACCTTCCACAAGTCATTTAACCTTTCTGTACCTCGGTCACAGAGTGGGAAAACAAGTCAATAAGAAAATGAGACAATTCCTATAAAGAACCTGGCACGATGCTTGGCATACAGTAAGTACCCGAGAAATGTTAGCTCCAATCATTAGGAAACCAATGGCACCATGAGCAAAGGGACTTCTCTTGCGAGCTTCTTGGAACAGCTGCAAGACCAATTAACCACCTCAAAACAGAGAAAATGCCAAGGAACCGCTAGCTCATCGACAGCTTCCTGACCTTCCTGCCATACTGATGAAAAATCAAAGGGATTTGATGCTGAGATGGTCAAAAGTCCACACTCAGCCCTTGCGGGGTTTCTAATCTGGCCCAAAGAACACAGGAGAGCAAACCTCTACCTCTGTAGCCCCAGGCTTTCGCTTCACTGCTGAAAAACGGGGATCATTACCTCATGTTAACCCCTGGCTGAAAAAAAACCCAGATCACAACTGTGAAAAGACTCTGGGAGGCAACCATGGTAAGAACTCTCCCAGACCAACAGCCACCTGGCCCCCAAATCTGGTCGGCAAAAAGCAACACCAGACTTCCTGCTCTGCCCTTGGGCGAGGGCCTGACACTCCAGGTGAAGTCTGCCAACCAACGCTGACATTTTTCTTATTCAAATGCCATCCATAAAGTGAGAAGTGGCGAGGCCACAGGTGACCAAAGTGCCTCTTGGTTTCCCTTTCCTTACCCACAGATTTAACTTTAAAATGTTTCCCTTTTAAATGGCCTAAAACCTTCCAACTAACTCTAAGAGTGACTTAGTAGCCCTGGCTGGGTAGCTCAGTTGGTTAGAGCATTGTCCTGATACACAAAGGTTGTGGGTTCAATCCCCAGTCAGGGCACATACAAGAATCAACCAATGAATGCATAAATAAGTGGAACCACAAATCTCTCTCTCCCCATTTCTTTCTCTCTCAAATCAACCAATCAATAACATTTTTTAAAAGAGTAACTTAGTAAACTCCAGCCTTTGGATACAAATGACCTGTTTGTTTAGAGTGGTTATTTATTGCGCAGTCATGTACCTCAAAGAAACAGTTACACACAAAAAACTGTCTGAAAAATGAGTTGTTCACTAAACACGGAGCATTTTATCTCAGGTGCTCCTAAAACGTACAAGATTAGCCTCATAAACTAAAATATTCTATCAGCCATCCATGGCTGCAGAGAACGCAGAACATAACACATGCCCACTCTACACCAGTTCTCCCTCATCTGCTACCCTTCAAGAGCCACAGCCCAGGGTGGGGGGAATGGTGCGGGAGGGGCAAGGAATTCAGGCTTATGATTTTCCCAGAAGTTCTCATTTGTGGCAAAACTTTCCAATTTGAGTGAGCTGATTTTCAGAGCTCTGAGCAGGTTTACTTCTGGAAAACTACTCGTTGGATCGGTGCATTGGAAACGCTGATTGAACCCTGAGGGTTAAAGCTAAAGATTTAAGCAGATCCCAGGAAAAAGGCACTGAGTTCCTCCTCTCAGGGAACCGAATTCCAGAAAGCCTGTGAAGGAACCGTTGGTCCCTCTGGACTAGCCGCAGGGGCCCGGCGCCTGCTGCAGAGCCACCATCAGACAAGCTCTGCGCAGGGATCTGCCGAGGACGTAAACAACGTATTTATTTGCGGAAAGAGGGTGGGAGAGGAATTCCGGAAAGCTGGCCCCGCCTGGCTCCCCGTGGCTGCAGGCAAGGGGCGGTGGCGAAGGTGACTCTTCCCAACAAAGTGCCCGAGGACGTGACCGCCGCGCGTGGCCGGCCTCCCGGGCGGGCGGCCCGACCCTCCGACCTCTGATTCGGGCCCGCGCGCGCGCAGCCGGCGGCCAGGAGCCTGTGGCCCGAGGAGCCCGAGAGGAAGCGGGGACTCAGCTTACTTCGTCTCGCCCATCAGAGCCGGCCGCTGCTCGGGGAACGTCGCGGGCGCTGCGCGCCGGGCTCAGGCGGGGCCCCGCGCATCCTCTTCCGCCGGCCGAGGCTGACCCGACAGGTGCGCGCCCGTGTTCAGCCGGCGGAGCCGGGGCGGCGCGCGGGGGTGGCGCGTGGCCGAGTTCGGCCCGGCCGCCCGTCCCCTGCCCGGCAGCGCGGCGAACCGCCGGGCCAGGGCCTCAGACCCGGGCGGCCTCGGGCGCGCACCCTGGGGCAGGGGCGCGCGGGCGCACAGAGGCCCCGGGCGAGGCGCGCGCGCGCGCAGTAGGACCTAGCCGGGAGCACGCGGCGGAGGCGCAGGCGAGACCACGCCCCCTGACTCGGGGTCGAGGGGTGGGGAGGAGGCGGGGCCTCCGGAACGAGTTCCTGGTTCGCGTGGATCCTCTGGACTTCCGAGCGAACTGAGCGGGCCAGTGGGTGGTCCTCCCTCCCGTCCGCTGCCCGTCTCTCCAGCCCTGGGCTCTTCCGTGCATCGTAGGGGCTGCCGTCTGAGACCCACGAGTGGCCGAGGGAAGTGGTGGTGTCGTGGGGGAAGTCTGGGAGCCTGGTTGCTGGCTCCTTCCCAGAATCTGCCACAAGCTGTCTCATCCAGGTTACCTGACCTCCCCAGGCCTTGCTTTTCTCGGTCTGTATGGGTGGCCTGAATGAGTGGCTTGGTTCATCCCATTTTCAATAGCCAGAGGTAATGATTTCCATGCTTGCGCCAGACAGCTTTAAATCTCTGCTATACCCGAGTGACCTTGAAGACAGTAACCCGAGACTCAGTTTCTCCGTCTGTAGCATGGGGGCAGTGAGAGAGTACTTGCCTCGGGGTCATCAGGCCTGTGATAAGTGCTCAGCAAATGGTAGCCTGCACCTGTGTGACTGTTAGTAGGGCAGTGAATGGGAAGAAGGCCCTCTGTGTGGGGGGACAGTGGGGTGCATCAGTGCGATAGCCTGGCCATCGGCCTCTCTCAGCACTCTGAATGGTCTGCTGGTCCTCTACCCCACTCCTCGCCATCATCGGGCAGTACCTGGCCCTCCCTCTTTAGCAACCCGGTGCCCACTTTTCTCCCAGCGGGGCCCCAGCCATTATAGAGGCAGATGCTCTGCAGACCCTGAGTGACCTTGGGTTAAGTCAGGGACACTGCTACACTGGACAGCCAGACCACCCGGGACCAGCCCTTGGACATAGATTCCCCCATTGCTACCTTGTCTCTTCTCCAGACTCACCTTCCTCCCACCTCAGAGACAGGAGTGTGTATGGCCATCTTTGCTGAAGAATGCTGGACCACCCAAGAGGGGATTCTGAGTAGAGTGTGGAAACTTGTGGCAGCTTTTTATTTCTTGAAGGTTCCAGTAGAGGGTCCGGAACTAGCAGATGGAACGTAGCAGTGGCCAGCAGGACTAAGTGCAGGCAGCAGGCGTGATTACCACACAGGATGTTGGGCAAGAGGATTCCAGGAAGGCTGGGGAGCCAAGGGGGCTGGGCCCCACTGTCACCAAGGCCGGGGCCAGCTGGGGGCCTGCAGTGGGCTGCTGGAACTCAGGAAGGATTTCAGCCACCCTGGATGGGACTTGTGCAGAGGGTCAAGGAGCTGGGTACCCACTGGCTGGAAGTGGGCAGGAGGGTCTGGGCAGGGACCAGCCAAACCGGACTGGGTGATGCCAGAGCTTAGTCAAGAGCCTGTCCCATGCTCTGTAACCCTGGGTGCACCATGTACCCACAGAACATGTGAACCCAGGCCAAGGGGGCACAGATGGGGCGAGGCAGGTGCCCAGAGACTGAGGTGAATGGAGGGAACCCCTCACAGATCCCTGTGCAGCCATCACAAGGGTGACCTTCAGGGACCTTGAAGGTATCTTTTTTTTTTTTTTGTATTTATTGAAGGCATCTTTAAAAATATCCCAGGTTCCTGCTGAAAACATCCCAAAAGCCAGTCCATTGTAACCAACTTATGAAGAAAGTGTGTGTGTTCGCTTACATGTTGGGGTGCGGTCTGAGGAGTGATGGAAACAAGTCTCGGGTGTCACGGCTCTTCTCCCGGACAGTGTTTCTCCTCCCTCACCTTTGGTGCTCATCTCTGCCTTCGCCACTGACACCCCTCGTCTGAGCTGGATCATGGCTTTGCTTTCTCTCCGTCGCGTGAACCATTCGGTCTCATCCAGGTGTGAGAGTATTGCCCCCACAACCAAAAACCTAAAACCTCGTCCATCTGGGCCTGGCCGTTGGCTTCAGCACAGTTGCCAACCCGCAGTTTTCTCGTCTCTGTGGCCACAGCAGACGCTCCAGGCCACATCACCAGGGCCCAGGTGCGCGTAGCATGCTCTGAAGGAAGCCAGAGGAAAGAGTGATGCCCCGCAGGGGTCCTGTGACCTGAGCTCTCTGCCAGCAGATTTTGTCTGTCTTCCTGAACTGCAGGGTAGACAGAAGTCGGGGCAACAGCTTGCTTCATAGACGTGGACAGCGAGTCCCAGAGATGTCTGTGGCGTTCCTGTCTTCAGGCGGCACTCACTAGGTCAGCTCTGCTTGTTCCCTCTGCTTTGCGCAGGGGTGGCGAGGGAAAGAACAGGTGTCCTGGGTTTTCAGCCACAAGTACATCCTTCCCTCCCTGGACATGAGAAAGCTCGGCACTCTCTTTTTTTTTTTTTATCCTCACCCGAGGACATTCTTCCATTTTTTGTTCAGATTTTTTGTTCAGATAGAGTGGGAGGGAAAGAGAGGGAGAGAGAGAGAGAAACATCGACATGAAAGGGACACATCAAGTGGCTGCCACCCACACAACCCAACCAGGGCCAGGGACAAACTGCAACCGAGGTACGTACCCTTAGCGGGAACCAAACCCGGGTCTCTCCGGACCACAGGCCAACGCTCTAACCACTGAGCCAAACCGGCCAGGGCTCTTTTTTTTTTTTTTAAAGATTGACTTCATAAAGTCTACATGAAGTAGCTTTGATTGGCTTTCTATTGTGGCCGTAACAGTTGGCCACCATTTAGTGGCTTAAACAACACAAACATATTATCTTGCAGTCCTGTAGGTCAGAAGTCCCACGTGGGTCTCGATGGGCCGAAACCAAGGGATCGCAGGGCTGTGATCCTTCCTAGGGGCGCCCTTCTCTTACTCAGCTGGATGTTGGCAGAATGTATTTCTTGTGGTTTGGGACTCAGATCCCTGTTTTCTTGCTGGGTGGCAGAGGGCCATTCCCAGCCTCCAGAGGCACCCAGTCCCTGGCTCGTGGCCCCCAACCTCCATCATCCAAGCCAGCAACAGAAGGGCACGTGCTTTGAATCTCCCCTTTTTCCGGTTCATCTCTCAGGCCCAGATGGGAAAGGGCCTCTGCTTTCGAGGACTCTGGCACACTCGTGTAATCCAGGGTAATCTCCCCATGTCAGGAGTCTGGACCGTTAGTCACATCTCAAAGTCGCACTTGCCGGGTAGGGTGATACACAGGTGCCGGACTTTAAAGCCTGGATCTCCTCAGAGTCATTCTGCCCTCCACAGACTGCAGGTTTGCAGATTCTCAAACCCTCTGCGTTGTCCAGGATCTTCATCACGTGATTTTTGTTGTTTAAATAACAGCTTTACTAAGATATAATTTGCATACTATACCACTCACCCATTTAAAGTGTACACTTCGACGGTTTCCAGTATTGTCTCAGAGTTGTGCAGCTATCACCACAATCAGTTTAATACACGTTTTTGTTGTTGTTAATCCTCATCCTAGGATCTTTTTTCCATTGATTTTTAGTGGAAAGGTCGGGGGGAGGGGGAGAGAGATGTATGTGAGATAGACACATTGATTGGTTGCCTCCCTCATGTGCTCCCACCCATCCGGGGATCAAACCTGCAATCCAGGCACGTGCCCTTGACCAGGAATTGAACCCGAGACCCTTCGGTGCGTGAGCCAACGCTCTAACCACTGAGCACACCGGCTACGGCAGTTTGGTACATTTTTTTTATTACCCCAACAATAAACTCTGCCCCCATTAGCAGTCACTCTCCAGTTCCCCAAAACCACTGATCTGCTCTCTGGATTTGCCTATTCTGGACTTTTCATATAAATGGAATCATACGATATGTGGCCTTTTGTCTACATATATGTTTTATAGACATGTGTATCTGCATAATGCCTTCAAGGGTCATCCATGTTGTAGCATGTACCAGTGCTTCATTCCTTTTCATTGCTAAATAATATTTGATTGTATGGATATACCACAATTTATCCTCCATTAGTTCATGGATATTTCCACTTTCTAGCTGTCATGAATAATGCTGCTATGAACATGTGTGCACGTGTTCTTGTGTGCACGTATGTTTCATTCCTAGGGGTGGAATTGCTAGGTCATGATTCCCCTGGGTTTAGTTTTTTGAGAAACTGCCAGACTGCTCTTCACAGCAGCTGCGCCATTCTCCATCCCCACCAGCGTCCGCAGGGGTCTGTTTCTCCATCCTCGCCGACACTTGCTGTTATCTGGCTTTTGTGTTCTAGCCATCCTCGTGGGTGTGAAGCGAAAGCTAACTGTGCTTCGGTTTGCATTTTCCTGAAGCCTCCCGATGCTGACCATCTTTTCTTGTGCTTATTGGCCACCTGTATGTCTCGTTTGGAGAATTCGAGTCCGATTCTTTGTCCGTTTTCAGCTGGATTGGCTTTTCATTATTGAATTGTTAGAGCTCCTTATGTGTTCTCGATGTGCATTCCTTCCTGGATATGTCGTTTGCAAGGATTTGCTCCTGCTCTGTGGGTCTTGATGGTGTCCTGTGAGGCATATGAGTTTTTAATTCTGTTGATGTGCAACGTATCTGTTTTTTCTTTTGCGTCTTGTGCTTTTGGCGTTCTATCCAAGAAGGCTTTGCCGAACCCGATGTCATGAAAATGTATGCTTGCGTTTTATTCTGAGAGTTCAGTAGTTTTAGCTCCTACATTTGGACTTGTGATCCATTTTTTCAGTTAATTTTTGTATATGAAGGGAGAGGTAGTGGGTTCAAGTTCATCCTCTTGCCTGCGGATGGTCAGTGGTCCCAGGATGCTTCGTTAAACTGGCACATAATGAGCTCCAGAAGCATCTGCTTGGATAGCTACCCAAGGCTGACGTGTCCACAGTCCCTACCTGGCCCCGTGAGACAGGCCCTGGCTGACTAATGTCTGGCAAAGGACTGCGATGCAAGGCGGGGAGCCAGAGCCACCAAGTTCGGGTGCTGCGTCCCCTTTGCTCCATAGGTGGCCGTGAGTGACTCTGGGAATGTTTTCTGCAAGTGGCTGCTTGGTCAGTCTGAAGAGGTGCCCCGGTGCCCTTGGGGGAAAGGAGAAAACTGGCCTGAGCCAGATCTCAGGGGGGGAAATCCCGGATTTTGTTTTGAGGCTTCCTGGGGGTGTGGGGGCGGGGTCAAGGGAAGAAAGAGAGAAGACGGAGCAGCTGGCCTGGATGTGAACCAGGGCAGGGACCTTGAGTAACAAAGCAAGAGGCACCTGTACTCAAGGTCAGCATTTCTCGCTTGAAGCTTTAAGAGGCAGAAGCAGGGAGAACTCCTGGCTGGCAGATGGAACGCAAGGCACAGTGCTGGCGGCCGCCCCAGACTTCTCTGCACCAGCAGAAGCTGCATTGTATCCTGGGGCCAAGCGGAGGTGCAGCCCGGGCCAGCCCAGCCTGTGGAGCAGGCGACGGTGAGCCGGGGGTCTGGGGAAGGACAGGGCACCCTTGCAGGGGAAATGTGATGGTCAGCAGGACCTCACGGGACAGAGGCGACTTCCCGTTGGCTCGTCCGGAGGCACAGTCTGCCTTTCCCAGTCCTGACACTTCCGTGGCCTGGTCCCAGCCAGGAGATCGGGAGCCTCTGGTGAGCCAGCCACTCCCAGGTGTCTGCAGGGCCACAGCAGGGGACAATTCTGCACTCATCAGCTCTTCCCACTCCGCCCCTCTCCAAAGCTGGGAATCCAGGTAAGGCCCCCCTCGTTAATTCATTCAATACTACATGCCAGGCCCTGTAGACTTGGGGGACACAGCTGCGAACAAGGCTCCTGTTCTCAAGGAGCTTATATCTGACTCCAAGTGGGGGCATGGGTGGGGAGATAGACAGTAAACAAGTAAAGAACGTGACAGAGTGACAAGTGCGATGGAGGCTACAAAAGGAAAATGGAGCGGGGTGTCTGGCTGCCTAAGGAAGCCCTCTCCAAGAGCTGACATTTGACTGAGACTCGAGGGAGAGGCCAGTTTTGCAAAGCCGGGGGAAGAGTTCTGGGCCGAGAGAAGGGCACATACAAAGGCCCTGAGGCAGGAAATAGCTTGGTGTCTCTGAAGAACAGAAAGGAAGCCAGCGTGGCTGGAATACTGAGCAAGAGGTAGGAGCCAGACACACAGGCCTCGGAGGCCGGGCAAGGAGTGGGGTTTTTCTTCTCCTGTGTAGTGGAAGGCCCTGGGGGATAGTAAA